TTGTACAACGATTTCGTACGTCTGCAGGTTTTATGCGAACATTTAACACCCTATAAAGGTCAAAATACATCTCTAAAAATCAAGTGCACTTTTGATAGGACATATTAAATATTATTGAATAATTTTAAGGAAGAAAATAAGCTAAATTAAAGAAAAAATTACGATTAAATTCTTCTCTTCTCTTATAATTTAAGCTTTTAGATGAAATTGTTTAATCTGAGTATTAAAAAAATGGTTACAAGTTTCTTCTCGCATTTACAACCAAAAGCAAAGTCTGATAGATACTTTCTTTCCCTCATTTGCTTGTGCTACACACACCAAAAAACATTTAACACCCTATCAACCTCAATGTACATCTCTAAACACGGAAAGATTAAATAGTGTTGAATGATTTTAAGGAAAAAAATAAGCTAAAACCTTGTATATCATAGTGTTCTTGTCCAATAATGTATATCGAACATGCTCTCGTTAAACCAAAATGATGATTAAATAACAACAATGATGATCGTTGATAATAAAAAGGACAGATTTTATAAGCTAAATTTTCTAATACTTATTTTCCGTGAAGATAGATCCATCCAATTCCAAATCCAATGGCAATCAAAATTTTGATAAAGGTGAATTTGCAGGGATAAAGATGGAGGACATCTTTTCTTGAATGATCTTCAGCACTTATTATGACAAATCCTTCAACATTTATCTTTTCAAATTGTCATCGTGTATTGGATTGCATCCACATATTTAACCGTCAAGAGTCGTTATTCATTTATGAAAATCGTACGTGTTAGACATTTGATATAAGTACATTTCCAAACTCGAGCCAAGCTCAAGACTGATTATGTTATATTTTTGGGCTTGGGGTTCCATCTTAAAAGTCGACCTTATATGTTGGTTATAAATTTCATCAATCTTTAATTGACATGGATCCCTTAGCATTATGATCAAACAAGCAAGAGGTTGTTGTATCTTTTACTCAAGCGCGAATTCAATCTTGAGATCTCCTATCTACTAGGCATTTATAAAGAGTGGGTGGACGCCTATACTTGATATGTGAGTGAGAACGAACGAACTAATGCCCATTCACATATTTTTATTGCAATCACCATAAGTGGCATTTTTCATAGAAATAGTCTTCCTTAGAAAATCCATCAAGGGTAATATGAAGGACATCATTATGCCTTTGTTGAAAATAGAACTCGATTTGAGCATGTTAAAGACATAATTTAAATAAATGAATTTATCCTCCCGTAACCGCTTAAATATTTAGTTGAGATGGTTTAACATTAATTTAATGCTTTAAGAATTGGCAACAACAATGTTAAAATTGATTTTTGAAAAAGTGTGTGTGTTGTGATTGATTTTTAATACAATCAAGTTACATGTACACTAAATTTTATATTAAGTTTGACATTTTTCAGACATTGATTTTTATAACACTTTAAACAATCAATTACACCAATTTTGATAACATTTGAAGTGTCAAATTTGATGTATACCAAGTGTATACAACTAGTTTAATCTTTTTTTAATTATCGTGGACAATCAAAAATGGAGTTGAAATGTAGATGTTCTTGGAAGCACTCCCCATTACTTACCAGATAAGAACCATCTGGACACGTGTTCTTGTCTATGACACACATGCCAACAAACATATCATAATAGTTAAGTTCAAATGTACCATGGGTTTGCGAGCGATATTTGTAACATCGATCCTGCTACACGTACTGTTTCGTTGACAACTTCGTTGAAATTAGATGAGGGGAGAAGTAGTTTGACCATTGATTTGAATAACATTTATTCAATTCAATGACCAAATTGTTTGCATATCATCTAAATGTCAAACTAGTTGTACATAATCAATGTACAATTAGTTTAAGTCTTGTAGCGTTGATGGGTGTTGTCCGTGTCACAATATTAAAGGCCTTTATGAATGTTGTGGATATAATCGCTTTTTCGGTTTGACCTTGCAAGTCGTTCACTTTGCTGGATCTCCTAAATGTTTTTCAGCCATTGCTTTGCTGCTAGGGTTTCAACATCGTTGATCGTACAGAATTTTGCAAGTGCATGATGTCGCAGATAAATAATATAATGATAAATAAGATATCATCACACAGAGACTGTACTTAATCTACAATTAATTAATGCTAACTCTATTGAATAGTCAATATTTGATTATCAATTGTATATTAATTTATCTAATTAAACTTTTTTTTTTTGTAATGAGCAACTACGAAAGCTTTTGTAAGAAAATGTTAAATATACACTGGGATTTTGAATGTCCCTTAATTAATCTATTTCAATATAATTCAATACCATAACAATGTATATTAATTCTTGTTCATTAATGCTTCTAAATTATTTAATAATATCTTTCGAGTATAATTAAGTATATAGTGGAAATTGTAAGAAATGTCCACTTTCCTCAGCCACTTGCAAAAATGGTCATTTTGGTATATTTTAAACTAAAATACCCATGGTCAACAATTTATGATT